ACGTACGACGTACGACGTACGACGTACGACGTACGACGTACGACGTACGACGTACGACGTGGAACAGACCCACAACAACCATGCTCAAAACGGCCTGATTCGGGTTCTCTGACCTCAGAAACGTCCAGAAAACATGTTTTTGAAGTTTCGTAAATTTTGACCTATTGCAATACTTTCCCCTTTCACACTAGGTGTGTGCGGAAAAGTAAAAGAGAGAAAAAGAACACCAAACAGTAATGTGTCCAATAAAAAATTTAAATTTATTGAAAAAATGGCTCGGTGCGCGCTCGCATCAATATTATTTTTATTGGGAAATAATCGGATTCAAATGAGCATTCAATATCAGTGATGGAGTGAATATTTTTACGTGGCTGACTTGGCCATTTAGCTCATACATATCTTTCGCACTTTCTTCTTTATCTGCCATTCGCCGTTGGTGTGTACACGCTCGCTTCTCAACTCACATCATTTGCTTGTGCATTTTTCGTTCTTTTTTCTTTTCTCGAAACAAAAAAAAATGTTATGGTTGTTTCTTGTTTCATTTGAACTTCTTCTTATTTTGTTTTATTGGACGACAAAAAAAATAACACGACAAGATAAACCATAAACTATACAGTCACAACAACATCATCAAAATTAGTCATTCGAAACATTCTACGAGAAGATGAATAAATTTACCATACTGTATGTTACATTATTGAAATTCCACTTTCGAAGTGACAAAAAAAAATATTTTATCGTCACATGTAAATTGCATGCATTAAAATATTCTATCTACTCGCTTTTGAATGGTATTATTTCACTCACATACACACACATGTGTGCGTATATAAACAAAGAGAAAAAAAAATTATCACTTTGACCGACCACATACCATTTACGTGCATCGCATGAATGACGCGTATTTCGAAAGAAAATTCAAAATCGATTTTGAATTCGTCCGATTTGTGTCAGATGAGAAATGTTCCATTGATATTTGTGTATTTTATATTGAAGCGAGTTTATTTAGTTTTGTGGTCGCTTAAAATTCTCATCTTATTCATTCTCTTTCTCAAAATATTACCGTTTCTGGGTGTGAAATCGTCATTAAGACCAACACGTATGCGCATGTATAAATTATATGGCATCGTGAAAAGATATTATTTATTCGACAACCACACAACGAAATAGTAAACGCAGAGACAGAAAATATGGGGAAAAAAAGGAGACGAATAAACGATCCGCTTCATTTCAACTAAATATGCATAATAAAATAAACACAATTTAGAGTATAAAATGGATAATAAGAATGTTGCAATGAGATTCTTAATGAAGATTTATGATCTGTAAAGGAATTGAGATGCAACGCCCTATGATCCCCACAGAACCGAACTATCTCTTTATCTCACCGAAAGTGTCTTGTTGTTGCACCATTTCAGAAACAATACCAAACATTTTATGCATATTTCAAGCGAAAACGATGCGAACGGTCACATTTTATATGCCAAATCTACAGAGATAGAAAAAAAGAAACATATACTACAAAACACACAAGATGCTGACTTATTTTGGGAATTTGCTCAGTTACATTTTTCGACGAATAAAAAAAGTCAACGTTTTTTTTTTTTTGATTAAACAAAATTCCATGGAACCAGTTGCCTGAATGTGTGCAATGAAAAGTGCGTGTTTTTTTCCAGCAATTACATCAAATGGACCAGTTTGTTGATGGTGTGTTCATTTTGAATATGCCAATGGAAAGAACATTGATGTGACAGAGAGACATAAAACCCACCATATGCGGCCACTATTGCTTGCGGATTAAATACGATTACACATACAAATCGACTTGTAATAATTAAATGTAAACTGATTTATGAATAGTTTTTAGTTTTGCTATTCTATGCCTAGTGCCCACTGCCCATATTTTTCGCTTGCATTTCAATTTCATATCATTTAAGTCCATGCCATACCTTTTTTTGCATATATTTACAACATGTATAACGAAAGCGAAAATAGATATAGCTTATGATTTGTATACACTTAATATGCCATATGAACGTCGTTATGACCAATGTCCATACATTGTACGGAGCGCGCTCACACATGGCAATTTGTGAAACACAATTTTATGAGTTTTGATCTGGTCGAATTTAAACTTGTTGTGGATGAAGTAGTTTTAAGCAAACAATTTCTGGCATTTTGCCCATTTTTCAGCTCGATTCCATTCACATTTCTGAAAGCCACCACGATATTTCGTTCATTAATCTTGTTCGAGCGACTATTTTTTTTACTGTTTTCAAATGTTTCCGTTTAATGCCACCATTCAATTTTATCGATGGTGAAAATGAGTATGATTCAAACGGACTGTTTCGTTCTTTGTAATTTCAATTTTTTTTTTCTCTGTGTCTTCAAAAGGTTACCATATTTATGTGACTCGTAAATGTAATAATCACAATAAAAATGGAAGCATAAATACAAATCTCATGGTGGCATTAACATCTCAAAATGAACATAAATCAATGTGGTATTTTTCGGTTTTTTTTTTTTCGTAGATATGGCTGTCATTTAACACAATAGTAATTTGATCTTAGTCCAGTTAATGATGGTGTGATGTCGAAGTGAGATTAGCGTCATGAGAGAATGAAAAATAAAGGACATAAGCAGGCAGGCAGGTATAAAGAAAGAAATCAGTGAGCAGCGAGAGAAAAAAAAAGATAGCATGTCAAAAAGAAAATAATTCGTTGCATACGTGCACGAATGTGATCGATTTTGTTTTGGGGCTCACATTGTAATAATGTCGAAGTATTTATGTTTCTTTTCCCTTTTGTTATGCGGCATTTAATTTCATTTTAATTTTCTATAAATTTTACCATCGATCGAAAAGAAACAATAAACATCAAATAAGCTAGCGTTTCGTATGCACAGGCACGATATGCGATATTACGAATGAAGGCATGAACGAAACCTAGACATTACAATCACGAGATCTGATTGAAAGGAGGAGAAGAGCGAGAGAGAACCAACAAAAAAGTGAAATGTTACATGAGATATAACATCGATGCTGACATTATTCCATGATATACACATGCATTTGATTCGGTCGATAGCAAAGCCGTTGGTTAAAGTTGACGTTTTTTTCTCTCCTTTTTTATTGTTGATCGTGTCCATTACATTCGTTTGCCTAGGAATATACACACTGCATAGACTCAATCGTATGGCTTAAGAACGAGTTACCAAAATAAACTCCGAATAAATGCCTCATAAAAAAGTAACGTTTTCTCTCTCTCGCTCTCTCTCTGTTTGCTTCCCGTTATTGTTGTTGTTGGTCTCGTTGTTGACGATGACGACAACGACAACGTCTTTCAAAGAAGAGAAAGAAATTTACTATAACCAACACACGCAACGCTTTCAAGCAGTTTACTTATGTGCGTTTCATTTATTGGAACGCAAAGGCAAATAAAATGTTGTGTAAGGAATGGTTTCATACGATCGAAAGAAGAAAAATAAGAAGAAGAACAAAAAATATGTGAGTTACAAACAAAAATCGTAAATACGGTAAATACTAAATCCAAATTCGATGCAATGTTAAATGGTCGAAAAAAAGGCGACCAGAGACGAAACATTGAAATATGATAACAACGTCGACCAAAACTAAACAAAACTAAACAACCAAAGGCAAATATGCAACGCGGATGTGAATACATTTTGTACGGTACTTCAATTATTGCCAGCCGAGAGAATGAAAACCAGCCACAGCAAACCGTCTATTACAGCAACAACAAATTTATTCACAATAACATAAAGCAAAGCAACAATGACATCGTCATCACAAAATCCAATCTCTGGCTTCATAGATCATGATTATGTATATTACACATCCATTGTGTGTGCAGCCAACATTCACATCGCAAACAGCGACCACAAAATAAAAAGAATTCAATTGATTTCGTTTCGAATTGAAAGAGAAAAAAAAAGAAACAGACGGTGGAAGAAAAAATAAATAAGAAGCAGGCGTTTTTTGTGGTTATACGCGTTGCTTTTGTTTGGTCTTTTAATTTCGATATGGCAAAAGCAAAGGAAGAGTTGATTTTAGATTTGGTCAATGATTTCATTATATATTTTTGAATTCCCTTGCAATGTGCCATTACCATTGTCGCTGTCGCTGTTGGTTTGTTAAATCGCTTTCCTGTTCAAGTGTGTGCGGAATGTAATAAAAATGTTGTTCAATGCTTACTTCACTTCATAAATTTAAAGACAGTTCCAGTGCTTTTCTGATGCTTATTTGTCTCTCGCTCTCTCTCTCTCTCTCTCTCTCTCTCTCTCTCTCTCTGTTTCCCGGTCGCTTTTTATTTTACATTTGCTCTTAGCCGCTTCACTGATGACCGATACCGACGATAACACGATGGCTGCGACACCAATTATCGACAAATTGAATGGAAATATTTTTGCGGCCCCGTCGTTCGTTCGTTGTTTGTTTCTTTTTTGCGCTTGCTTTTATTTAGCTCTCAATCCGATTTGGTTAAATGTGCAAAGGAATTCCATATGCAAATTAATCGACAGAGTCACACACTCACTCACTTTAAGTTACTTTGTACAATTTTCTTTGACGCAGTACTCGCTCGCTTGCTGGTTGTTGTTTTTTTTATGTCTTTCACAAATGATGCACACACTACGTACTACTTTGAACTTCGTTTCCACGCACTACATTCAATTTGATTTTTGATTCATTCAGGTTCTTTTCTTTTCATTTAATTCTTTCACTCATTCGTAGATTCGAATTGCAATTTCAATTATTCTTTCCCATTTTAATTGTTTATGTATGAAATTGTTTCAATTTTTTTTTCTCTCTCTCTCTCTTTCTCGATCACACTAAAATCGGTGACGAAACACCATAAAATTCGCAATTTTATGCCAAATGCACGAATGAAACGTAATTTTAATGAAACACTTCGAAGCGATAAAATGAAAATAGTTTTTCGATGTCGAATGGACCAGGCAAAAATGTCTTGTTGCACAGAAAATAGCAGTTCTTTAAGCACGAGAGGCACACACAAAAAAAATCCAATATATACATATTCACAACATTATTCATCTATGTGCGCGACGATCATCGACGAAGTGGACGAAGGTGACGATAAAGGCGATCAAACGACATGCATCGGCATCGACAATATATTTTTCTATATATGAAATGCACACACACACCGTGTGTGTGTGCGCTCGTTACGTTGTGCAATAACACATACCAAAATCCCCAACCATTTAAAACCACTGAAAATGCATTTTCATATTTGCTCTGTGGCACACACGCTGTGGCATCGATCGTTTTCACTTCAACCAATGTATCTATGTGGTTGTTCGTCTCTGTTCGTTTCGGGAAATAATGAATACGTACAAGTACAATGGCCTATCTCGAGTACACAAATCGCGCGAGAGCGCTGTGTGTGCATACGATGAAGTGAAAACAAAACAGATGAAATGAACACACAGCGGAGAGAGAAAAAAACCACACACACCAAGTGTACACACAACAAGAGAGACGTTGAGGATGAATATTAAAAAAAAAACTGCATCCAAGACACTAGGCGCACAACAGCGACCAGCCACGACTAATATGACTGGTATAAACGTCGTTTATATATTTTATATGTATATTTTTATTAAAATAATAAATTGTAATAATAACACAAACACATATAGCAAATCGCACGATCACTCAACTCGTTCACTCGAGTTTCTTCAATGTTTTCTTTTGCATTCTGCGTGCGCCTTTTTTTTCTTCTTACTTCTTTCAATTCAACATATTTTTCTTTATTCTTTTGTTAAAAGAGAGTCTCTGTCTCGCATCGATCGCTGATCTTTAACTTAACTTCACATATTTTAAACACTATTTACATGGTACATTGCAGATGAGCAGGCAAGCAAAAGTAGCAGTAAGCATCGTGCATTCAGCTGTTGTTGTTGTCGCTACTATTTCATTAAATGTTTCACTGTGGTGTTGTGCTGCAAGTCACAGTTGCAGTGCAATTCAATGTGCAGAAGTACCTCTCTCTCTCGCTCTCTATCTTCGCAAAATGCCAATATATAAATGTATCCACGACAAATAAATGACGATGAAACGAAGAAGAAGAAGAATGAGCCCACGACACGAATAATGAAACAGAAAAGAGAATTTTAACTCAACTCTTTCGTATGTTGGATTGGCTGCGGTAGCAAAACGACAGCAGCAGCAAATGGTGCGATGGAGAATGAAAAAATACAGCACTCAATCGCCTCAGGTCTCGGTTCGAACTAAATATTTTTTCTTGTGAACATGAGTTCTTTGGTCTCAGCACGATCTCGAATTCCATTCGTGGAACTTGGTATTTGTAAATATTTGCGCCTGTATGTGTGTGTATGCCACAGAACGCACACTTTATATGTACGTGTGTGAGTGTGAAATGATCATCGTTGCATTTTTCATGGTACCAAACAAAAGTGCAAAGAGAATGAGCAGAGAAACGCATACAATCAACAATGGTTCATAAAAAGAAGTTGAGGTGAGATCGTAGCACGTTGCTACAACCGACCCGCACATGATTCTTCTCTCAAATTCGAACTCGATGAGAATGAGCGCTGTGAGTGTTTCTCGTGTATGACTACCATTACAAAGGCCACAATTTTCATCAATAACAAGAATATACGACCGAATAAGGCAAACATTGTGCGAGAGCTATCGAATAGCGAATATGTGGCACAAAAGCAATTCATCGATTTCTGTGTATAACTTAAACTACAACACGTAAGCAATCGTCACACAAAGCAATGAATAAACATATCACCAAATACACTATTCTCTCTCTGCCTGTCTTTATCTCTTTCGCATACATGCTTGGCTCTTTTAGTTTTAAAGTGTGCGCTTCTCCATCGGTCCTTTCTATTCTATTTTTCGTAATACATTTTATCTTTTTTTCTCTTTACATTTCTCTCTTTCTCTCGTCACATTAAGTGTACCGTTTATGAAAATATGCCAAGAATGTTTGTCACACAACCGTACCAAAACTCGAACCCAGCAATCAGGTTGATTTTTTAATTACTGACCGTGTCTACCAGTATTTGTGTGCTCGTTGAAAGCGATTTCTTGGAACGGCTTTTGTGCGGCATTATCGCTCTCACCAATTTTCACTATTTGACCGAATCGAAGGCATCGAAGGAACCGATAAAAAAAAACACCCAAAATGAACCGGATTTCATGCATTTAACAAAATGAAACATTTTTAATTACTTCATGCATCATGCTTAATGCTATTGCACTACTGTTCCGCGGATCCTTTGAAATTGACTTTATTTCGTTTTCGGTTTCACTTCGATGTAAAAAGAACAACCACTAATCCCAAGTTGGGATTCCCAGCAATCTTTTCAATTAAACAAAAGAAATTTCACTCTATTTTCTCCCATTCATCTTCAGCAGATGTCTTCGAATGAGATTAGATTTAAAATCACTTTTATCTACTTTCAATTGTTGAATCGGCGTGTATTCCGACCACAAAATGCCATCCACAACGGAATCACTTCCGCTTTGTCATTTGGCCGAAGTTTAATTTGTAGCTGAGTCTTTATAATCACTACTAAATGACTTTAAATCATGTAATTCAGTTGTCTTTGTTCCCCAAGTATTTCTCTCACTCTCACTCATACACTCTTGTTCAATAAGCTATAGGAAATCCTTTCCGCCGCATTTTCTATTTATTTAGAATCGTCTAAATATGGTATATTTGTGTTTGATTGGTCAATATTTGCCTCGTGTAAATCGTTGTTCGATTCGAAAACCAAGAGAATGAGAAAATAAGAACCAAACATAATGGAAAATGGCCAGAGTCTATGAAGCACGAGCACACAAGTGTAATTACATTTTTCCATCTCCTTGTCTCAATCGCTAAATCAATAGGTTTCCAAGTAAGAAGTTGTCTTCGAGCGATTTGTAACTTCAAATATTTGAAGAATGTTTGTTAAATTGCTCATAGGGCTGATATTGATACAGATTTAATGCGGCACATTCTTTCCAATAAAAAGCTAATCGGTCATTAAATGTGAGAGAAAGAAAAACAAAGCCAAGACGAATTTTTTGCGTGTGGTGTGTGGATTATTGAAATGATCAATTCAAAAGTTTAACGGAACATATTTTGGACATAATTTCTCTCTCTTTCTCTCTCTCGCTCGCGTTTTCTCATTGCTTCCAAACATAAACAACAATGTCTCAAACGTTGGGAACAACTGCTCGACGATGGATATCAAAGAACCGATTTAAATGTTAATTTCAACGTCGATCGCATTTCAATCGAACTTTAAGTGAAACCCAATCATTTCATCCATCTATAATGTAATTTGCACGAAACATCCTCATCTTTTCATTTCATTCTTTCTCTCATTCTAATAGTGTTGCTGCGAGCTAAGTGAAAATAAATCATATTACATGAAATTGATGGGGAGACCTTGAAATCGTGAAGGAGAAAATGTTCGCCTCTGCTCGTCCAAACATTTTTGATGAACCACTGAATCGAGCTGAAGCTATTTTTGTATTCTCGTGGTGATTTCCGTGGAGATTTTTCGCTGTTGTTGTTTTTTCTTTAATTTTGCGATGTGCACGGCCACATAATTTGTGGCTGTTAACACGGGGAAAATGGTATAAACGTGAGTTGGATATGATGAAGCAAACAGAAATGGATACAATAATGTGTGTGTTGTTCCGATGCATGGCATTTATATCGATTTGCGATGGATCGATTCATGCGTACATGTGATGAGTATACGAGCGGGAGCAATGAGATTTGTTTGGTTCTTAGTTTGCGGTAAGTGTACATTTTATCCGATTGATGAGAATCAACCATCTTTCAATGTGCAATTTTAGTTTGGTTCGTTCCAGCAGAGAAATGTATGTTATAAAGTGCATATTTCGTTGTTCGTACCTGGAAGCAAAACTGCTGCATCATCAAGAGAAACAGCAGAAGCAACAGCTATAACATCAACAAACGCAGTCCACCAGTTACGTGCATACACGATATCTCTACACGTTACTGCGTAACATAATTACTGTATGCATTGTGTTTGCCTTTTTTTTTCTCCCGTCACTGTGTGTTTCAATGCATCTCTTCGTTCATTGTTCGCGTAGATTCACTTAGTTCGCGCAATTGTAAAAATTGTGCACGAGAATATTTCTTTTTTCACTTAAAAACCTATTCTTACAATTGCAATTCGTACAATGTTCACGAAGCAGCTTCAATCTTTTATATTGTTTTCAGATCATTTGATTTGCTCTTTTCGCTTTTTTTTGTTTTCAATACAATAGAATATTGATTGGTAGCAATTATTTCAGCGTTACGCGCGAATTTGAATCAGAGTCAAAATAGGAAAATGTTTCCGTTACATTTCGTGCATTTCGAAAATTGGCCAATATGACAAGTGCTCTGATACAATTTTCTCTTCTGTTGCAAAAAAAATCTTGAATAAAGTTCATTGGCCATTTTTTCTCCTTTTTTTAAAAATAAATCTTATCGGTAAATATGTCAAAATGCACTTTTATACGATTTATTAGCCGATTTGTGGCTATTGGCCATTTGAAATTGTAGCTTTAAGCCGAGTGCGAGATGCGAAAGAAAAAAAAATTTCGAGAGAGAGAGAGAGAGAGAGAGGGAGAGAGAATGAAGAGAAGAGAAAAAAACTTGGTCGCTGTGAGATTGAAGCAAAGTGATATGGTGACGCCTAAACCATTTGCTAAACTGTTTGCTTTGACTCTTTCACTCAATAAAAATGTGCACTATACATACTGTGTCGTATATGTATATCGGGATGCATTTAGTCGCGTACGTATTCGCGCATTGATTTATCTCATTTCCAAGTAAAACGATTTCACAAGAATATCGACGGCTGCATGCTGTATCACAGCCAAAATGGCTTTTAGAACTGAGATCCCTCTGACGCGTTGGATTGTCAGCAGGAATGTTGATTGCCAATGATTTTTTGATGTATCTGTAGCAAGCAGTACGAGACGCGATTGCTGCTGCTGTTGCTGCATAGTAATATGTCATCAATTAGTGGCCGCTTGTTCTTGTCGTTATAATTCCATTCTGAATGCTGTTGGCCATTTTCGTGAATGTGTGTGTGCATGGTGGATTCGAATACATTGAATACCGCAAAAGAAGCGAATAAATTACGAAACATATGTAATTCTTAACATTACGAACTCTCAACGTTCCAATCGGCAATTCATATTATCTCATGTTTCAAGTGACTCTTCATCAATGTCACACGCAGTTTACAATTCGCATTGCGATGCCCAAACCGTTGCTTTGCCAAACATTCGTTCGATGTCGTTTGTTTCTCGTTCTTATTCTTTTACGCATATTTTACTCTTTCAAAGAAGAAATCAATTTATGTAACAATATTTAGAGCACAACGTTAGCCATCACTGGCCATACTGGCAAATATTCATCGGATATACAGTCAGACATAAGAGTAAAATAATATTTCAACGAAAATCGTTTTATTTATTAAGCTGTCAAAAATGCAAATGTTGTCAATATTATTGAGATTTTATTCACTTCCGTTTGACATTGTTATGAAAAAATGTTTGATTCCAAAAGAAAAAAAATATACATATATTCAGATAACATCACACATGTGCACTGCACCCACCCATTGGGATAAATAGAAGAAGGAGCAACGAATCAGTCAGTTCTTCTTTCGAAATCAGTTTTGTAGAATACATTTTTTTTCAAATCCAAAGAATATATCGGAATATATCTTATCTAAATAAACATTCTCAACGAAATCCGATATAAATCTCTACTTTTCAACGGCTTGACTTATTTGCATTGTAAACATATTGCGTCTAACAATCATGTATGTATCTTTTTTGTGAGTCAGCACAAGTTTATTCAGAAAATTCGTTCGTTTTTTTTTCACATTTCAAACATCAAGTACTATAATGCAATTTGTCTGGATGTATTTGAATCGAATTTTACCATCGGGGAAATGAAATAGAGTAGTTGTTGAATTAAACTTGATTTGTATATGGATTTGGATTGTAAACAAGAGAAGCCACGTCTAACCTTATTCGTATTCTCGATGATTTATCTAATAAAGAAATCGTTAAACGGTATACGGAAGCGCAGCATGCTCCACATACTTTTAATTTCCTTGAACTTTTCCAATTGCAAATTTAATTTGGAGGAATACTGTTTAATCTACATTTGATGCGCAGAACACGCTCGCTCGGGTCTCTTTTCTCATGAGTGCCAA